GGTTTGGTTACGGTACGTCGTCGTCGTCGGCGTCGTTCGTCCGTTCCGTCGTCTCCTCCTCGTCGTGTGTGTGTGTGTGTGTGTGTGTGTGTGTGTGTGTGTGTGTGTGTGTGTGTGTGTGTGTGTGTGCGCGTTTTATGTCTCTCACCTTCTGCGTGTACGCTGCCGCAGTTTGCGTTGACGCGGTAGTAAACGCAACACCGGCTGCGGCAGACGACAGAGAGCCGGAGGGCAAGCAGCAACAAAATCAAAAAGACGAAGGAAAAATGTGCAAGGCGGATAGACTCCTCCGGCCCACAGCGGGCACTCCCGCCACAGCGAAGCTCGCGGAGGGAAAAACACCGCCCGCCGCGCGCTTCACTCACCGGAGCATGAAGGACAAAAACAACGTCTATCGGCAGCATCGTCACCCACGCACATTTAACAAATGAGAGGAAAGTCTGACGGAAGTACCGTCAGTTTTCTGCAGGAACTTTCGGCCATTCGATGCAGAGAAGCGCAAGCGTGTATGCACAGTGCGGTGCATGTGAAGGGCATCACCCTCAGCCAACTTTGGCATCCAACGCTGCCACTTTTCGCTCATCTTTTTGCCCTTACCAAGCTCTTTAAAAGAAGGAAAACAAAAACAAAAAAAAACAAAAACAAAAACAAAAACAAAAAGAAAAAGGAACCGTCGACGTCCCTGCTGGCTGTTCAATTTCTTCACAGTGTCCAGCCTTAGCACCCCCGCCGTAGCTAGCGCCACTTTGGATGCCGAGGAAAGAAGTATAAAAAAAAAAGAACACAGTTGCAGTAACACCCAATATTTGTTTAGTTTGTTTGATTTTGTCTATTCAATTCGCTACTTGCCATGTGTATATGTGTTCCTTTTTTTTTTCCAGTTCACTTCTTGTATGTGGGCGTCAGCGGCTCTTTTAGCGTTGCTGGGCGTCCGTAAGCATGCTTGTGTGCGCAGATACATGCAGTGTGTGTTGCATCTTGGTGCGGCTGCTGCTGCTGTTTTCCTATACTACTTTGCGCTGCGCTTCGTACAGCGCCTCGTACTCCTCCCGCCCCACCGCGCGGTTGCCTCCGTACATTTTGTAAAATGCGTCGTACTCCTCGCGCCGCAACGGGACGTAAAACCACCCAACGGGAAAGCTACCCGCACTTCGGCCCCGTCGGCCCTCGGACGCAGGCTCCTGCTGCTGCAGGGCGGCCGCGTGGTCCTCGCGGTCCCCGGTGCCGTAGCAGAGGCGGTTGAGAATCGGCCCCGGCTCCTCCATGAACGCCATCCGCTGGAGCCAGGGGCGGGAGATGTACACCACCTCGTCCGCGTCTGTCCGCCCCGTGTCCTTCGCGCGGGCCGTTGCTTCGCCGCACGGCGGTAGTTCCCCCTCGGCGGGCGGTATCGCGAGGAGGGACTGCGCCTTCTGACGGAGACTCAGCACGGCCTGCGGGCGCGGGGTGAGAGGCTGCTTCTTGTAGAGCAGGAGGTACTCATTGGCGTCCGCCACCTCGCCGACGTCCACGATGTCCATTTCATCGTCGTTTATGCGCAGCCACACGGGCCGCTCCTTCGTTTTGTGGGCGTAGGCTATGTAGTGCCCGCCCATGATGGAGCCGCGGTGGTCCACGACACCCTCCAGGGTGTAGGTGTGGACGGGGGACTGCATCCCCGGCGCGTCTCCCTCCACGCCCTCCGTGTTTGAGCTCATTGTGCGCTGCGTCTGCCCCGGATTCGTCGTCGTCGTCGTCGTCGTCGCCGCCTCCGTCGCAGAGGTGCCGGTGTCGGTGCCGAGGAATGACTGAAACCGCGCGGAGGACGTCGCGGAGCAAGAGACGCTGTCGTGCATGTAATCACTGAGCTCCAGCACATCCGCGTTCGCGGCAGCGCCGATTTCCCATGAGACGGGAAACTCCACAGTATCTGTCTTCTTCTTGTTGAAGCAAATCCCATGTTCAAAGCGCTTCATCTGCAGCACTAGATACTCGGGGAGCGTGAGGAGCGAGTCTCGCTTGGTCGCCTCCGACAAGGTGTTACACGAGTCGCAGAGATACTTGTTGTTTCCCTTCAGGAGGACGGGGTCGAAGTGGATGTCAAGGCACTCCTTCAAGGTGAGGGGGTACTCAATGCGCCGCGTGAACCAGCGCAGAAGGCTAAGCGCGGAGTGCTTCAATAGGAGAAACCACGTAATCGGATTCCACCACTGGAAGCGCCAGCGGCTCTTCGGCTGGGCCGAGGCCCTGCCCCCGGCCGCACGCTGCACCTCCGGGTATCTCTGGGCATACTGCTTGCGCTGGCTATAGGAGGCAACATCAATGGCGAGGGAGGAAAACTCCTCCACGATGCGGGACGTGCTACCGCAGTTGTGACACCGAACCTCCGACAACAAGTAGCCGGTAAAACAATCCGTTACACCGTTGTAGTGCAGCATTGGTGGGCGAAATGTATTGCGGTAGGGCTCATTCCTTCTGGCCTTCGCCTTGCGTTCCAGCTGCTCATTGTCGTGGTTTACCGCCTGCATGAGGCGAAGCGTGTTGTACGTCCACCAATCACCGGGGAAAGGGAAAAACGGGCTGGGGGACTGCGCGGAGCAGGGGAACGGTGGCGGCAGCGGGAGATTGTCGCCCTTCACCACGTCGGTGGAGCTGAACATACTACGCGCCTCGCCGCCGACGAGCACCCCCACGGCGTCCTCCTGCGTCACCGAACGCGCATCCACGCCGACGATCGGCGGCGAGTGCGAGGCGCAGTCGCGGTCCACGGCGTCCGGCGCCGCAAGCGCCGCGGTGTCCTCCTCGAAGGAGCGCAGCAGCGCCTCCAACTCAACCCTTTGTCGCCCCTCCTCGGAGAGGTTGGCGACGACGACACTAACCATCTCCGAGCAGTCCTGCTCGCCGTATCCCTCAAAGGCGGAGTGCACGGCCGCCAGGCAGTCGAGCGCCTTCAGCGGCGAGAGGGCCTCGTGGCCCCGCAGCTGCACAAACTCCATGTCGTACAGCAGCTGCGCAAAGGCCTGGAAGAGGGTCTGCGACGCCCTTCCCCCGCTGCAGCAAAGCTTCAGGGCGCGGGGGCCGAGCGAGGGGTGCCGGAACGGGGAGTTCCGCAGGCCGTAGACAAAGGAGTTGCAGTTCGCAAGCAGTTGCACCCCGGTGTTGAAGTAGCACGTGTTGCCCAGGTTCAACAGGGGGCAGACGATGCAGGGGGCCACCGCCCGTCGCGGCGGCGCCGGAGCGCCTCGTGCAGCGAGGGAGCGCATCTCCACCCCCTCCCCCTCCTCCTTCTCCTTCGCCCCCTCCCGCCTCTTCCCTCGCCCTCCTTCCCCTTCTTTTGTTGGCGATGCACTAGCTGACATCTGATACCTGCGCGCGGCGGCGCAGAGTTCACCTACGCGTGACAGTGGCCAGGGGGAGGGGGGAGATGGAGGCACAGACAGAGAGAGACAGGGCGTGAGAGAGACCCGTTGACGATCCCTGCAGAAGCCGCCGTCCGGCCGCAGAACCACAACGTCCAGCATTACAACACACACGCACGCACGCACGGCAAAAAGAAAGAAAGAGAGGAAGATGCCAAACAAAACTAAGCAAACCTGCATGCAAAAGGAGAAGGGACAGGGGAGGCGACGCAACCCAAATTGCACACATGCGACTCTGTTTTCAACACACACGCCGACATATACCCCTTTGTTTGTTGGTTTGTTTTTTTTTCCGTTTGCCCGTTCAGTTTTTTTCCTCCCCTCCCCACTGCTCCTTCCGTGCATCATTTCCGTCTCTTCGTCTATTTTTATTTCTTTTTTTTTTTTCTTTTCGGTTTCACTTTCTCTCTCTTTCTCTCTCTGTATCTGCCACTCTCTTCCTTCCTCGCCTGGACACGCAAACACGCCCGCCCGCCTGCCTGCCTGCCTGCCTGGGGGATCAGAGAAGGTACTTGGCGAGATCGATGTTCTTGTGCAGCGCAGCTGTGGAGTCCTTTACCGCCTTGGCGTCAAGGACCACCTTCTTTCCTTCGTAGTCCTGGCAGTTGAAGCTGTACTCGTCCATCACGCGCTCGATCACGGTGTGTAGACGGCGTGCCCCGATGTTTTGCCCGTTCGCGTTCACGGTCGTCACGACGCGGGCAAGCTCGTCGATGGCGTCCTCCGTAAACTCAATGTCCACGTCCTCCGTCTTCATCAGCTCCTTCTGCTGCAGCAGCAAATTGTACTTGGGCTCGCTAAGAATGCGGCGCATGTCCTCCTCCTTCAGCGCCTGCAGCTCCACCCGCACCGGCAGCCGACCCTGCAGCTCCGCGATCATGTCGGAGGTCTTCGCCAGGTGAAACGCCCCCGAGCAGATGAAGAGAATGTTGTCGGTGCTAATTTGGGTGCCGTCCTTCAGCGTCACATCGGAGCCCTCAATCAGCGGCAGCAAGTCCTGCTGGACGCCGGTGGAACTCACATCGGCGTCGTTGTTCGAGGCATCCGTCACCACCTTGTCAATCTCGTCAATAAACACGACGCCGTCGTCCTCGGCCAGAGTGCGGGCCAGGGTGCTGACCTGCGTCTCGTCCAGGAGACGGTCTAACATGTCCTGCATCACCAGCGGGACGGCCTCCTCCACCCGCTTCGTCACCCGCGTCTTCAGCCGCATCTCGGGGGCGGAGCCGAAGAGGCCGGCGAGCTCCAGGTCCGCCCTGCTCCAGCCCTGGCGAGTGGTCTTCGGCGGCGGCGGGGTGACGTCGACCGTCACGGGGTCGTCCTTGAACTCCGTCTTGTACTTCGCCTTGAACTCCTCCAGCGTGACGTCGGTGGGGGGGGCGCGGCGGCCGTCCTCGGCCTCGTCGCTCGCCCTCCCGCTGGCGCGGCGGCGCGTCGCCCAGCTGCCGTACACCGCGTCGAGCGCCATGGCGAGCGCCTCCTCCGCCCGCTCCGCCTCCAGGCGGCGCTTCGCCTTCGTCTTGGCGTTCACGTAGAGGTCCTCGATGATCGTCTCCACGTCCTTCCCCTTGAAGCCCACCTCAGTGTACTTCGTCGCCTCCACCTTGACGAACGGGGCGTCGGTGATGCGGGCCATGCGCCGCGAGATCTCCGTCTTCCCCACCCCGGTGGGGCCGACGAGCAGAATGTTCTTCGGCAGAATGTCACGCCGCAGGTCCCGGTCCTTCACTTGGCGGCGGCGCCAGCGGTTACGCAGCGAGATGGCCACCGCCCGCTTGCCGTCCGACTGTCCAACGATGTACGTGTCCAGAATAGACACAATCTTTCGCGGCGAGAGGTCGTCCAGCTGCGCGGATTGCGCCTTGGCCACCGCCGCCACATCCGGCGCCAGCGGCGAGGCGGCGCCGAGTGTGCTGCTGCACAAACGCCCCCAACTGAAGCGCAGCATGCTGCACCACTAAACCCCCACCACCACAAGCCCGCCTGCTGCTGCTGCTGCTGCTGCTGCGCCCGTGCCGCGAAGGCAATCCGCACCGACACCCACCCACCCACACACCCACACGGAGACTGTGTGCGAGAGAGCGAGAGAGCGAGAGAGCGAGAGCAAGCAAGCAAGCAGAGAATATCCCCCGTCAATGACCCTCGCACCCACCTTCGACGACCAGGTGAATTGCCCTGCACTCAAGCAACCAACGTAGATGACAAAGACTCCAAAATAAACTACAAAACAAACAAACAAACAAACAACATCCACACATAAAGAACAACGGCAAGGGAAAATAAAAGGCACAGAGAAGAAGAAGAAAGACGAGGCAGGAAATGAATCAGGGAGAGGGAAAGACAGACGACATCCGTGCATGCGGTGGACCCACCCGTCTGTGTGCGCCGCAGAACCGAAGAGTGGGCCAGCTGCAATGAGGCACGCGCGGAAGGCATCGGGGGAAGGGACCATTAAGGAGCCACAAGAAGGCTAAATAGGAAAAAAAAAAAAAAAACAATGGAGGCAAAACCTCTTCGCCAGCGAGAAGGCAGTCAATGAAAACAAGAAGCAACAAACAAACGCAACAACGACGAGAGTCGCAACAGTTCACATTTATACTTAACAGTGAAATGTCACGATGACAGTTGAACTGTCTTTCTTATCCCGCTGTGTTATTTCCCTCCGTTCTCATTCCGCCGGCATGCAGGTCAGCGACTTCCGCACCCTACTCCCTCTCGCCCTCGCTCGCTCGTTGGAAAACTCCACCGCATCCATGACGCAACAGGCATCAAAATAAAACGACTTGCATGAAAACAAGCGAGGAGCCGCGGTGCCAGTTGTGCGCCTGGCTGCGGCCTTGCTTCCCCTGCTCCCACAAAGAGAGAGATATACAGAGCAAGTCCAGAGCCCGCTTCATTGTGCTCAACCTCCCCTACACGCACACACACACACACTCATAAATAAACAAATCAGCCCAAAAGAGGCTGCGTGGTAGCCGGGATCTCGTCGGGGCCCCTCCCCGCCCCGCACAACCGCCGGCAGTCCCTCTGCGTGGAGGGTGCTGACGGCCGGGCGGCGGCGAGGGCACTGCACCCACGCTGCCCCACTCCTCCCCTCACCCGACGCGGCATCGTCGGAAAGAAACATTAAGTTGTGGGGCAAAGGAACAAGGTAGGCGGTGAAGCAAACAACCACCCATGTATTTATTCTTGCCTGCCCGCACACACCCCTCGCCCACGTGCTTCCAGAAGACAGAGAAGGGGAAATAAAAACAAAAGCTCGCCAAGACGCACGCATGCGGCGTCACGAACGTTTCGTGAATTAAACCGACATTCATAGACTATGTGCGCGACCTCCCCCCAGAGGAATTCCCATTTTTTTTCTTCTTCCTTCGTCGTTGGCGTGCCTCAGGAGCTCTTCCTTCTTCTTTACTCATTCCCTCGTTTAGCCCCCAACTTTCCCTGCACTCCTCCACTTCTCTTTACTCCTTCTTCCTGCTTGCTACAATACATACACACTCACACATGCGTACATATATATATATATATATATATATATATTTACGCGTATTTTCCCCGAAATTCACTCTCAAAAGTCGTCGTTGCCGGTTAGCATGGGGCCGTAGCGTGCCATGATGTGCATCATCGCCGTGACGCAGATTCCGAAGGCCAAAAGCAGCGTCAGCACACTCGGCCCTAACTTGTCGTCGTAGCGAATCTTCTTTCGCGCGTACACGCGCCGCGCCCGCGCCTTAAACGTTACATACGCGTACGCCAAAGTAAACAAGGCGACCGCGACCAGCGAGGTGCCCAAAACAATGTGAAAGTGCGCCCGCCAAAACGAACTCAGGTGTGAAACGTCGCCGGGAAGCGCCATGCTATTGCCAAATTGAATCACAGCCAACCCCACCAGACCCAGGCGTGTAGCATGCTCCGCCCACTTCACCATGTACCGCTCCGAGGTGAGCAGTGTCTTGGGGTCGTATTTCTGTGGTACGCGAATCCGCTTGCCTGTCTGCCACGGGATGCGGCCATAGGAGACCTCCGCCGCGGCATTCTTTTCAAGCGCTGGGGAGAAACACAGCGACTCCACGCCGTGCTCGGCGTAGGGGTAGAGGTGAAACGCGGTGTAGGCTTTGTGCCGTCTATCCACATCGTACTGAAGCGTGTGCGCAGGCAACGGCGGCTGCAGTTGTAATTGACGGCTTCCACTATTCCCCGCGGTGCGCCCTCCCTCGGCAGCGACAGCGGCGGCGATGTCGTTTTCAGCAACCGCAGGCGGAGCAGCGCCCTCGCCGCGGAGGCCGCACAACACCTTTTGGTAGATACGGGTATAGTCGGTGCGTGGAAGAAACCGCGCCTCGGAGGCCCCCACCGTTTGCGTCTGCGCGCTCCCAACGCCAAAGATGGCGCGATCCATCGTGCGCTCCCAGCAGCCGGAGGCGAGGCCGAGGGTGGGGTCCCACTGGTTCTGCTCCGGCTTCGTGGAGGCGCGGATGTCGATGTCCAGCTGATGCATCCAATACGGCACCATCTTGATGAAGGGGGTGTGGCCGTACAAGGATGCAATGCCGTGTGCATACTTGCTAAATTTTGGCACACTCTCCATGTACCTGCAGCTCATCAGCTCCTCGATCCAGGGCGCGATACGCTCGTTTTCAGCGCACTGCAGTTTAATCTCCACCACCGCGTAGGGAAAGTGCGACACAGGCGCGTCCATGCCGCTGTACCGCCAGTGGTGCCCCAACCCAAAGTCCTCCGCGGACATGCGCAGGTCTGTGTCGATGCTGACACGAATCGATTGGTCGATTCCGCGCTGAAAGGCCGCTCGACAACACTGCGTGCGAATCACAGGTTTGAGCTCGTAGGCGTCAATCTTTGAAACAATCTCTGTGGAGAGGTCCATGAAATTGTGTATTTCCCTTTCAGAGGCGTGCTTGCCACGCAGCTTTTGTAGCGCCGGGTTAAGATCCAAGTCCCCGTGCACGTAGGAGTCCACGTCCTTCTCCTTGAGTGCAAACCGTCGCTTATTACTCCGCTCACCGCTCCAGGCCTCGTGGTGCACTTTAATCTCCATAAATACACTATCCGCGGGGGTGAGCTTGTTCCAGTCCGGGTCCAACGGGTCACCGTACCAGCGCATGCGGATCAGGGTTGCCCCTTCCAGTCTTTCAAGCCTTCGGTGGTACAGCAGGAACTCGTAGTTGTCCCAGTACACGCTGCTGACGGGGGAGCCTAGCGTGAAGGGAATATTACGCTCTCTGCAAATATTGTAGGTGTCCTTAAAGGTGCTGTGGGGTAGGTGGGGAATAATGCGGGCAATGACGAAGGGGAGGTCCTGCAGATGCACCCAGTACTTCACCGAGCGACGGTCAAAGACCTGCGAGCCAACTGTGCCTTCTGGAATCCCGGAACGTTTTCCGATGCGCACGTTTTCTGCCACCGTCACACGATCGTACACCTTTGAAAGCAGGTAGAAAATCTCATCAATAGACAGCTCATGATAGTCGTACAATGTCTTGATGTTGTTCCAGCGATCCCCGGTGGGCCCAAGTACGGCGTAGCGGTACATGCGGCCAATAATGTGCTCAATGGTGTCCGTGTTTAGGTTGCAGCACTCCACAAAGCGCAGAAGCTCGTGAGAGATGGCGTCTGCCACAAGTCGCGCCTCAGTGGGGGGCAGGCACTTCATACTTCCACTGCCCAGTGTATTGAGCACAAGGCTTAGGTTGGTGGCGGTTTCCTCCTCGGAGAGGTAGTCGGAGGCGGCCATGAGGGCCTCCGCGACCGTCAGGAGCTCCTTGATCTTACCTTCGCACCACTTATACACGCGGCACTTCTGCTCCAGCAGCGCGTTGTACAGTTCATCGGGGGTGGCCGGGTTTGCGATGTCCTCCTTCATGCGATGCAGGATGTCCTTGTTGGCCTTGTAGTTGATGTACGCGCCCTGGTCTCGGAAGTCGGGGTACACCGCGTTGCGCCAGGCCTTGCTAAACGGCATTGTTCCGCGCCGGTTCAGACCGCGTGCCCAATTTCAAAATCAAAACAAACTGCGCAGGAGCAGAAAACAACAACAACAGCAACAGCAAAAGTGAAGGAAAGACGAGGGAGGCGATGAGGCAAACGGCGGCGAACATGCTGAAGCGGCGCCTCCTCCCCTCACGGCGAGACCGCGCAGAGGGCGAGCAGCCGCATGCGTGCAGGCACAGTCGCTACATGACGGCTCAGCGGCAACCCCAAGAACAGCAGCGTCACGGCGAGGCCGCGGAAAGCAGCAAAAAAAAAAGGCGTTGAGTTACATACGTACGCAAAGAGAAAAGGAAGTACTCCGTGCGTGAAGGTGCGGTACCATTCCTCCCTGGGGGAAGCAGATATACATAATAAGACACGTCCAGGTGAGTCCCATTTGCGTTTTTTTCTTTTTTATGTTCTAGTGCTGCTCGTGCGCTTCCCTCCGCGTTCTCCCTGCCGCTCGCCGCCACTGCACTGCGGCGCCCACACCTCCGCGCCCGCAACACACGCCGCGGTCGTTTCTTCAGGCGTGGGCGTCTCCCTCGCAGCTGCGCCGGGAATAGAAGGCGAGGAAGAGCGCGGTGATGAAAGCAACAACAACAACAAAAAAACACGCCAAAGCAGCCGAGCGGAACGCAACACGGAAGAAAAGACGATGAGGAAGGAAAAATACATGAAACAGCAACAACTACCACCAAGGCAAGAGCAACGGAGGTCGCATACGCATAAACCTCTCCCCTTCGCTCCTTCTCTCCCTGTTGCCCATTCGTTGGTAGCGCTGCCGCAAGAAAAGTGACATTCTTCTTTTTTTTTTCTTTGTTGTTGTTGCTGTTGTTTTCGTTGTACCCTCCGTGTTTCGTGTTCGTGTCTTTAGGTGCCTACCCCATTTCATTGGCTGCTTCTTCTCTCTCTTCCCCCCCCCCGTGCCGGCCAGCAATAAAAAGAGAGGCGACCCCTCAAGCAAACACACGGAGGGGGTAAAACAACAACAACAAAAAACAGCAGCAGCAGCAGCAGCAACAACAACACAAGACCTACACACATGTGTTACATGAAGGTTGGGCGTCATTGCAAGGTATTCTGCGTTCCTCACAAGATTTGGTTCCTTGTCATTCTACGGGAGGGGGATCAAAGCGCACGGGATAGTTATAAATGTAGCGGTATGGATCATTGCCGGCCGGGCACCATGGCTTATAGCTCTGCTCCTTCTGCCGCTCCTCGCGGATGCGCTTTTCTTTCAGGTCATACGGGTCTTCCTGGTACTCGGGTGGTTTTGTGATTTCCTTCACAAGCGCACCTGCGGGTCTCCATGGCTTGATGTCCGGCAAAGGGCGCGGCATTTGCGGCTTCTTTGGAGGCAACGGCCTGTTAATGCTGTACACGGTGCTGAAGCCATGCTCGCTTTCGTCGAAGCATCCGCCCTTTTTCACGGCCGCCTTAAATGGCTTCTGCGAGGTCGGGCTGCCGGAGCGTTGGACGACGGCGCTGGGGACGGGGTCGGCTACGTACTGCACCTCCCCCGCCTTGCCGATGGTGAGGCCGGCGTAGCCGTAGGTGCCCTTCTTGCCGGGGTTCGTGTAGATTTTCCGCTTCGGCCACGCCGAGGCGGCGTCCGCGTTGCTACCGGCCTTCTTTATATCCACCAGCGGCAGCTCCGCCTCGTGCCTAGGCGGGCTGGCCTCGCTGAAGGTGCCGTAGTACGTCCCGCTGCCGTTGGGCTTGTGGGGGCGGCTCGGCGGCTTAAACGGCACCGGCACCACCGTCCCGCCCTTCATCCCCTCCGCCGGCTGGCGGAAGGTGCCGCCGGGGGGGACCGGGACGTACTCGTCCCCGACGGCGAGGGAAATAAACGGCTTCTGAAACACCGCGTCGGTGATGTGCGGGGAGCGCTTCATCGGGACGACGAAGCTCCGGGCACCCCCCACGTCCCTCCCCGGCGACGGCTTGGGGTGCGGCTTGTCGTACTCATCCCCAACCGAGAGATACACCGGCTCGCTGAACATCCCTGCAGTCCCGCGGCTCCGCTGCCTCTGCCTCTGCCTCTGCCTCTCACTGTTTGCCCCGCCTGTGCCTTTTGCGCCTCCTCTTGGCGGGAGGGAAAAAGACAAACGCAAACACAACAAAACAAGTAAGAAGAAGAAGAAGCGGAGTTGAAAGGCGTCGAAGAAGCCCCCGCACCGCAAGTATGCAGGAACACCACGCAAGCACCACGGCAACGGCAGCCACAAGGATCAAAGGAAGAGCAAAAACAAAACAAAAATGTCGACAATAAAAACACAAGAAATTGCCTTCGAGAGTAAATGCCTACCGGAGCAAGCCACACCCACACACAGAGAGAGGGAGACAGAGAGATAGAGATAGGGAGGGAGGGGGATGGGAAAGGTGAGTAAATACTGCCGCCGCCGGCGTCGCCTTCAACACATCGATGGTGAGGGGACAGCGAAGTGACGCCAGGGTTTGTGCGCCCCGGCGACGTCACACTCGCGCTGCGAGAAATGGACAATCGTCCCGTCCCCATCCCGCAGCTTTTCCACCACCACAGCCGTCTGTGTCCGTGTGCCGTACATGGAATGCGAGCAAAATATATTTCGTTCATGATAATTAGCAATATCCCGGTAGAACTTCGTCGGGAAGTGCACTGGGGGGCACAGCCCTTCGCCGTAGAGCTTTTTGAGCTCCTCCTCGCCCTTGTAGCCGTTGTATGGTAGGGAGGCTTGTAGTACGTCTTCATACTCCCGAAGCACCTCGGGAGAGCGACTCCCCGCCATAATTTCCTTCTGTAGGTCAAACTCAGGCTGAAGGCAGAGGCAATGAGACACGAGGGAGTCCGCCACGTACTCCGCGTCGTACGGCGCTGCATCTATGGGGATGAATTTGCTCACCGCCTCCTCAAACCGTTCTCGCAGTAACGCGGACTTGGGCTCCTTCCAGTTGTCAAGGTAACTATTCGCCAGGCAATGGACGACGCCGTGTTGGGCGGGGGATTTGTGCTCCGCAGCGTACCGGTTCGTCGTGTACAGCAAGCGCAGTTGCCGCGAGTCAAACAGGCTCTCCGCGGTGAGCAGATTGTAGCCTTCAAAGTAGGGCGGGGCAAGCGAGGGCCGCAGCCGCATGAGCTCCATCTCCGCCGAGGAAAAGGAGTGCGACGGCGACGACTGCGGCGGCAGAAAATCCCCCGGCGTCTTCCCCTCCCGCAGGAAGTCGCGGACGATGTGGCCCCGCGAGATGTGGGGGATGAACTCCAGCGACACATTTGTTCCGCCGTCCTCGGCAGCCGTGGAGCGCACCCGCATCCGCCGCACCACCTCGTCAAGCGGCATCGCCCCCCGCCAGCTGGCGGGGATGGCGGCGTCGTCGCCGAGGCGCAGCGGCGCCGTTGGGCTGCGGTTGCAGTTCGTCAGGGTGGCAAAGCGCCCATCGTGCACGTTCAGCCCCAGCCAGGAGCCGCCCGCCACGCCGTCCGCGGCCCACAGGAGCCCCGTTGAGGCGCTCACCCCCAGCGGGCGCGTCATGCGACTGCGCACCTCATCGCGGTTGCTCACCAGCACAAGCGGAAAACGCTGCGACAGCTGCGTCACAAACGCCAGAATGCACATCACACCACTTTACGCATAAAAACACAATAAAATAAAATAAAGACACGCCCCGGCGTTTTACTTCGCCCAGAAGTGTTTCGTTTTTTCGTTTTTCGTTTTGCCTCGTTTCGTTTTCCGTCTACTTCAGCTCGCCCTGTTGTCACTGCATTGAGAAGTCCAATAAAAAGGCGAAACACGCATGCAGCACGCCACAATGACGCCAAGACAGCATGTGAATGTGGGCAAACACAACAACGCCCCCGCGGCAGCGGCAGCAAAAACCAAGAACTAAGCAGCAACAGCAACAACAACAACAACTGAACAGGTGCAGCACAACCACCTTTTGTTTCTGCTGAAAAGAGCCAAGAAGTCTAACGTAGGTATATATATATACACACACACTTTATCTTGTCTTTTCTTATAGTATATTATATATAACACACACATACACACACACACACATATATATATGTATATATATAATATACTCATCCCTACGATTAAGCAAAGACAACGTCAAGTTGAGGGCTCTCATGCGTCCTTCGCCCCATACTTCAATGATCACGCGTTTTTCTTCTTTAGTTCTAGGAGCTTCGGTATCAGTGGCTCGCCACCCCCGCCCCCGTACTTCTCCTTCAGATAAGAGTACGTGTAGCTGTATTCGGGGTTGCAGTAGATAAAATAGAAAAGGAAGCCCATCAACGTCGCGGCTCGGAAGACGGCGTGTCGCACGAACTTCTGCTCCCCCGCACTCCGCGGGCGGCAGGGGGAGAGAAGGTACGACAGACTCGTGCGACGGACGGCCTCCTCCTTCCCAGAAAAATGCGCGCTCATGTGTGCGTCGACCAAAGGTCTCTCTTCCCCTCTCTCTCCCTCCCTCACCCGCTCCCGCGGCCGCGCACAAGAAAAGGGCAGTACGACAAATGCCGCAGACAGGTGGAAGACACACGCGGCAGCATCAAACGAAACAATAAACGAACGGAGGAGGAGGAGGAGGAGGAGGAGGGGGAGGGAAAGCAGAAAGTGAAAGGCGCCTCGTCCCCCCCACCCCCCCC